ATGGACAAGGGGGTCCAAGTGGAGTAATCGGGATACTCTTAGAAGAATCATCTATGTAAGAGTGAAGTGTGGTCGCTTCAACAGAAGGACTTTGGGCTGATCATGTCTGACACTCTCGCAGAACCAGATGCGTGTTCCATGACCATAATGGGCACACCCATGAGAACGGAATGATGGTTGGTTGAAAAATATGTATTGTATATCGTCCTTTACATAAACGGCAGTACAGTTCAAAGACATCACATTCTACTGAACAGCTAGTAGAGAAGGTATACTTTACAAGGAGTAGGTTCAAAGGCATAAAACCTACCTACTCTTGAAGGTTTTAACTTTAGAGTCATTGCAAGTCACATGAATTAATTTTCATTCATGTGGGGGATTGTTGGATTTTATTGTTAATTTGGACATTTTTTCGGACATAAATTTGGCAGGGTCCACAAAATTATTTTCCAAAATAATTATGGACGTTTATTCTCGTAAGTGAGATAAGTGTTTCGACATATTACACGCCAAAATTGGTGATCGGGTAAATGAGAAATTAATTCACAAAGTCGAACACGTGGAAAGAGTAAAGATCTTTGTCCCACACCGGATCTTGAACCTTTCGTATTCCCAAATTTAAACTTAAGCATTTAATTGAGCTTATGAAAGGAACAAGAAATAACTCCTCGCGCGCCGCCTCCGTCCGTTCGACTCGTTAAACCACGGGCGTGCGTTGCGTCGGGGCGGGGCGCCGCGCCTGTGCCCGCATGAGCGGCGTGGTGTGGCTATTTTTACGAGACCAAAACGCACATGTGTGGACACTTCGTTAATAACGTCACAAGTAATTAAAGGCATGCATGCACACCACCTCTGGAATTTTTAGTTAAAATCCTTGTCCCACACTAGATCTTGAACCTTTCGTATTCCCAAATTTAAACTTAAGCATTTAATTGAGCTTATGAAAGGAACAAGAAAGGACTCCTCGCGCACCGCCGCTGCCGCTATCCGTCCGGCTCGGCAAGCCGCGCGCGCGTCGCGTTGGGACAGGGCGCCGCGCTTGTGCCCGCGTCAGCGACGTGGCGTGGCTATTTTTTACGAGACTGAAAGGAACACGTGTGGATACTTCGTTAATAACCCCTTCCCTCTATCAGGACCCTTCACTACTATATAACCCCTTCCCTCTATCAGGACCCTTCACTACTATATAACCACTTCTCTCTATCAAGACCCTTCACTACTATATAACCACTTCCCTCTATCAAGACCCTTCACTACTATATAACCTCTTCCCTCTATCAGGATCCTTCACTACTATATAACCCCTTTCTCTATCAGGACCCTTCACTGTAAGATCAAAATGCCCGATAGGCTGAACACAGCTCGACTAATAAACAAGGCACTACCTCAAATTGTTGATGCAGTAACTGTTGAACTTACAGTCACTCTTGGCACGAAGCTTGTAGTGTGGATCGTCCGCCGCTTCAAATGGTGGTGGTGCGGGGAGAAGATGACAGCGGTCAACGAGAACTCCATAGCTGCCGTCGTCACCACCGCCCAGTCCGATATTTACAATGCCAGCATTCGTACTGCCAAATTACAATAATTACAATGCCAGCATTGGTACTAAGGATAAAAAAAATAGGAAATTTTATTTTTGTTAAATATTACAGCGAGAATTAAATAAAGAAAATTAAAATAATCCGAACTTATAATACGTTCGGATTTTACAACACAAAAAAAAATAATCAAAGGGTCGCTGGAAGGTGGAAGCCACAAAGTGAACTGAACAGGGAGAAACAAATGAGCTACTTTACTGGAACGGTCAGATTGCTCCACTGGAATAAATGACTGAGCGGAAAAAGGGAAATGGCATGAACAGTGACTGTGAAAAAAAGGAAAATTTTAGGAAAGCGGAGTCGTCGGAGCTTTCCTTAAGGTAGTATCACCCGTCTCTCGCACTGGCTAACGTGAACGATCTCCTCCCAGGATAAAACCGCTAACGCACAAGATCTAGAGCAGTAGAATCTTATGCTGACGAACGAGAATGACGAAGATATATCTGCCCGAATACTAAAACGAGAGACTGTTGGACGCAAAGTGCTTTTCGAGAGTGTTCAAGTGTGTTTCTCTGTTACAAGGTGCTCCCTTTATATAGGGCAATCCGGGATGAACGGACAGACAAACCGAAGAGTCACACGGAGACCCTTCAGTGGTGTGCAGACAAACCGAAGTGTCCACACGTGTTCGTTTCGGTCTCGTAAAAAAAAGTCATGCCACGCCGCTGACACGGGCTCGGGCACGACGCATCGCCCCGCCACGCCGCGATGCATGCGCGTGTCCTTTCGTGACATGTCGTGCTGAGCTGAGTCAGACGAACGGCGACGGCGACGCGCGAGGAGTTATTTCTTGTTCCTTTCATAAGCTTAATTAAATGCTTAAATTTAAATATGGGAATACGAAAGGTTCAAGATCCGGTGTGGGACAAGGATTTTTACTCTTTCCACGTGTTCGACTTTGTAAATTAATTTCTCATTCACCCGAGCACCAATTTTGGCGTGTAATATATCGAAACACTTATCTCACTTACGAGATTAAACATCCATAATTATTTCAGAAAATAGTTTTGTGGATCCTACCGAATTTATGTCCGAAAAAATGTCCAAATTAACTAAAAATTCCAACACACTACTATATAACCCTTTCCCTAATTCCCTCTATCAGGACCCATCACTACTATATAACCCCTTCCCTCTATCAGGACCCTTCACTACTATATAACCCCTTCCATCAATCAGGACCCTTCACTATTATATAACCCCTTCGCTCTATCAGGATCCTTCACTAGTATATAACCCCTTCCCTCTATCAGGACCCTTCACTACTATATAACCCCTTGGCTCTATCAGGACCCTTCACTACTATATAACCCCTTCCCTCTATCAGGACCGTTCACTAATATATAACCCCTTCCCTCTATCAGGATCCTTCACTGTAGGATCACTACTATATAACCCCTTCCCTCTATCAGGACCCTTCAGTGTAAGATCAAAGTGTCCGATAGGCCGAACACAGCTCGACTAATAAACAAGGCACTACCTCATATTGTTGAGGCAGTAACTGTTGGACTCACAGTCACTCTTGGCACGAAAGCTTGTAGTGTGGATCGTTCGCCGCTTCCGACGGTGGTGGTGCGGGGAGAAGATGACATTGGTCAACGAGAACTCCATAGCTGCCCCCGCCGCTGCCCAGCCCGATAATTACAATGCCAGCATTCGTACTAAGGAGATAAAAATATAGGAAATTTTATCCAACTGGGTTGTTGTTGTTGTTATTTTCATACGCAGTAGTTTGTAAAAATTGAAAACTTTCAATTTGTAAATAATAAAGATACTACTTATTCTTTTTGGAGTTCTTAAAAATAATCCTACTTAGTTTTTATTCTTTTGTAGTAAACATGTGACTTAAAACTTACGGAGTATATTTTTATATCTTTTTGCAAAGAAATTTTAAACAATTAAGTTTTTAACACTTTTTTTAAAATTTCATGGGAGTCACACTTTTTAAATCTTTTGAAAATGAAATGACGTAAAAAAGTTACATTTTTTTCGAGTAATAATAATAATTTAGTACTCTTAACATGTTTTATGACAAAAAAACCAAATTAAATTTAAGTTTATATACACCAGTCCCATCGAGTAATAAATAATATTATTAATTCAATAACTTTTTTCTTTACTAGATGAGACTGGTGTATATAAATTTAGAATGACATGGAATATTTAAGGTAGTGAGCATATTTTTCATCTCAAATATCATAAACCAATTTGCCTAATTGTGAATTTCCTGTGAGGGAATGTATTAGGAGTATTAAGTATAGCAGAACCACACCTCAACTCATCAAAGCTGGCTACGTTATTTTTTTTCCCCCCTAAAAAACAATTTCGTATTGCATGTTTAATGTTTGACTGATATTATATTCGATTTAATTTATAAAAAACAATTAGCATAACATTTAAAAATAAAATTTATATATTTTAAAACTACATCGATCAAGAATTCTACAAAATGTTACTCTGTATATACTATTTTTTTTGATGAATAAGTAATGAGATAGAAAAGCAAATTAAAGTGGTAAAAGTTTGAACTTCTAAATTATAAATATAAAATTCTTTTTTAAGTAAATTACCAAAATGATATATAATAATTATGTGTTTTCCCAAATTAGTCCTCAAGATAAACTAAATACCGAGATGGTACCCGCTAATTGAAAATATCGCCTAGTTTAGTCCCCCGACTAACGGTCATCAAAACAGTGTCAAAACAGAATTAAGATTTATACTAATTTTTCAAATTAATCATATATAATTGAATGTTTTTTCAAATTAGTCTATCTTCTCTTTTAATTGATTCACGGTGTTTTAGCAAAGTCGGAAGACCATTTTTTATGAGATTTTATTTTGAAAAAATTGACTAATCAAATATTAAAATATTAATATATATATATATATATATATATATATATATATATATATATATATATATATACTTTATCCGTCCCAATTTTGATTACAAATTCGAATTTACGAGGTAAAACTTTGCACCAGTATTTTTTAAAATCATTTTATTTACAAATAATTACTTCAATGAAAAATAAAATTACATATTAAAAAACTACGCCAAAAGTTCTAAAAAATAAGAGATGACGCGAATATTTTATTTTATCAAATAATCAATGAAAATACACAAATAAATAAAAGTTATCGAGAGATGAGAGAAAAAAAGATTGTAATCAAAATTGGGACGAAGAGAGTATTAAAGCTATTGAAGATTTGAAATCTTTTATTTTTCTTTGTTAGTTACTTTTTAGATATATTTAATAATATTATGAAATACGCAAAAAATAAAATACGTATCAATTTTGAAAAAAATATATATTAAACTCGTTTGAAATTGTAAACTTACACGTTAAAAATTGTAATATTTTAGAGTATATATATATTAATATTTTAATATTTAATAAAGAAATACTCCGGTATTTCTAACGGGTCATTTCTGGTTCTGGTTTGGATCCAGCAGTGACATTCCTCGTTTGCGCCAATTTCATCTTCTCTGAGATCGAACCAAGAGAGACAGAGAAAAAAATCAGGCAATTGAATCAAGAAATGGCGGACCGCTTCTTTCCGAACGAGATGCCTAATTTCGTCCCAGAATCGGCCGAAGCGGCGGGGGAGAAAGCTCAAGACTCACTCACGAAGCTTCTGCGTCTTCCTTACAACAACTTCGCGGAGAGAATTGAGAAATCGGCGATGGAGCTTAAACAAACGGTACATAGTAGCGATCTACTTCTTCCATAGAAGTAAAACACTGTATATTTCTAGGGTTTCGAGATTGGTGAACGGATTTATTCGGTTCGATTTATTAGATTGTGGAGGAGACCTGGGTAGCTAAGGGGAGGCGCGTGAGTGACTATTCACTATACACTGGGGCTCTCGGGACGGCTTTTTTGCTGTTTAGAGCATTTTGGGTTAACGAAGATAGGAACGATCTTGCTTTGTGCTTGGAGATAATCAGTGCTTGTGAGTCTGCTTCTCGCAGATCCGGGTATGAACTGTGTGTCTCATGGATTGAATCAGTTTTCCAGTAGTTTGGGTGGTTTTTGGCTTGCATTTTGTGTTTTGAGGAATTCACCTTCTTCACATCAGATGTTTTAATCAATTTTTGTCTTAGAAATGTTGGGTTTAGCATTGTTGCATGTTTTTCAAAACCAGACAAGAGTAATGGCTGGCTGGCTAGGTTTTTACATACCTTACCTTTACAATCATTGTTCAAGATTTTTTTTATCAAATATCACTGTATTTGTGGGTGTGTGGGCGAGTAGAGGAAATCGGTTAGAGCGAGTCTGCGCATTGCGAGCAATTTGTTTCTCTGTTTTCTCGAGCTTTGCGAAGATCATATGGTTATGGAACCCCGGTTCCTATGACATTGGGTTTCACATTGGCCCCAATTGGGGCACCTACGGTGCCCATTTTGTAAAATTGATGGTTCCTACACCTACACCGCAGCCCGGTCGGACCCCCTCCCCCCCACACCACCTCAATTGAACCCCCAAATTTAGTTGATTTTAGAATCAGTTTGTTTACTCCAAAGTTAACTAAAATTGGGGGGCTTCAATTGAAGTGAGTGGGCGGTGTGTTTGGGTCGGGTCGGGTGGGGGTTAGAGGGTTTCGGAATCGTCAATTTTAAGAATCATGAACCGTAGGTTCCCCAATTGGACTCCATGTCATCCCATGACATTGAAACCCAATGTCACGGGAACTTCCCCCTTGTTATGGACGGCTGCATCAAAATATTTTCAGTTTAATTCTGATTGCGTGTCATGGAATTGTAGGAGGGTCACATTCATATGTGGGCAAGCAGGTGTTTATGCTCTTGGTGCAGTTGTGACGAAGCACATGGGAAATGAGCAGTTGTTTAACCACTATTTGGCTCAATTTAAGGAGGTCAGTGTAGCCTTCATTTTTTTGTTTTTATCCCCACAAGGCATATTTATTTGGAATTCTTCTCTGCATTTACAGATTAAGCTTCCCAAGGATCTTCCGGATGAATTACTATATGGGAGAGTAGGTTACTTATGGGCGTGTTCGTTCATAAACAAGAATATTGGTCAAGGGATAATAAGTTCATGCAAAATGGTAAGAAATTATTTCCTCCTCGTGCTGTTTTTTTTGTAAATTACATTACGTACCCTTGTGCAGCGAGCAGTAGTAGATGATGTTGTAAGGTCTGGCCGCAAAATGGCAAAAGGTGGGTGCCCTTTGATGTATGAATGGCATGGGAAAAAGTACTGGGGAGCTGCCCATGGCCTGGCTGGTATCATGAATGTATTGATGGATATGGAACTCGAACCGAATGAGCAGGAGGATGTGAAATCCACCCTAAGGTATATGATCAGGAACCGGTTTCCCAGCGGAAATTACCCTTCAAGTGAAAGAAGTGAATCGGACCGTCTTGTTCATTGGTGCCATGGTGCTCCTGGTCTTGCTCTTACTCTCACAAAGGCTGCAAAGGTTTAGCCCATGCTACTCCCCAATTAAGTTTCTTTAATTTTTTTTGGAGTACTTGTGGTTTTATTTCGTTTCAAGAAAATCATTAGCCCACCCTACCTAGTCGGATAAGGTTTTGTTGTTATTACATTAGTTATACTCATTTTGTTAAAAGTCATTATTGATAATGAATAAGGCCATAAGGGTCTAATAGAAACAGCCTCAATCTTTTTTAACATGGTTAAAGCTGTGCACATCTTGATCCCCTTATGTTGGGAGGAACCGTGTGTGGGGTTTATCCCACACCAGAAAAAAATCAAACAAATTCTACCCACATATAAAGAAAGATGAAACACTACCCACATTGACTTAAGCTTTTAGCTAGAAAGTAGATCCGGACTTTATATGGGAAAGCGATCAATTCTCACCCGACACTCCACCCAGTTCACTCTGCCCACAAAAAATCCGACCCACTTACGCACTAAAAGAAGATCTCAACGCACTCCGTTGGGATTACACTAGGTGTTGTTGTTGTGTATACTGAAATTTCTGCTATTTTGTCCATTTAGAAGGATGAACCTAGACACCTACAAGCCTCTCTTTGACATTTGATGTTTTATGCCATCCATAGGTTTTCAACAGTGAAGAGTTTCGACAAGCAGCTGTGGATGCAGCCGAGGTGGTATGGGAAAGGGGACTGCTGAAACGAGTTGGGCTCTGTCACGGCATCAGCGGAAACACCTACGTGTTTCTCTCACTGTACAGTTTAACAGGTGACGCGAAATATCTGTACCGGGCAAAGGCATTTGCTTGCTTCTTGCACGATAGAGCTCAGGCTCTTGTGTCACAAGGAATTATGCACGGTGGCGATTGCCCGTACTCCCTGTTTGAAGGAGTGGGAGGTATGGCGTATCTGTTTCTCGACATGTGGGACCCACTCAGTGCTAGGTTTCCTGGTTATGAACTTTAGCCCCCCCCCCCCCCTCTTTTTCTGCAAAGGATATGACTGTGATATGATGTGTTGTTCTTGTTCTGAAAAATGGTTTGGTGTTAAATTGATGATTAAAAATGGATGTGTTGATGTCTTAGCAATAATGTTCTTAGCAGTTGAACTTGTTTTGGCTTCCTTCTCGGGGTGACTCTGCATGTATCCTCTGGAAATACAGCTTCTATAAATCATTAAGGATCATCTCCAAAATGATATGGATGGTTACTACTATTCCCTCTTTGACCAGAATCTATGAATGGAAAAGATGACATTGTGTTGTTGAAAACATGGCCATCACCACGGGTCGAGTTGAGTCGTTGAAGAGGAGACTAGTCGATCAAATCCAAACGAGCAATTTTTTTTAAAAAAATTATTTTATGTATAAATTGGTCTAGAAATAAAAAATAGAAGTTATATATTTAAAAATTATATTAATAGTTTTATAAAATAAAATGTAATAAGAATGTTTTGTTTTATTAAATGATAAATGAAAATACACGAGTTAACAAAAGTTTTCGAAAAACTCAAATATTAAATGTGCAAATCATTCTTGGGATGGAGCAAGTAGGTCTATAAAATTTAAAGGGGAGACTAGTTGAGCCGCAACTAGTTGACATTAAAAAAGACTCAAAGATAAATTTATATTGTAGCAAGGTTTTCTATGTTTTATTTCTAAATAAAATTATTGACACTCTAAATGTCATAACTTGACATTGTTGACATTATACAATATTTTTTAGCACTAGCTATTGACATTATTCTATACTTCATCCGTCATAAAATTAATTTCTCGCTTTAACCGTGGTGGTGCAAGATAATTAGCATATAAAAATAGATTTTTGCTACAGGAAAGGTTAGAAGTTGTCTGCTCCTAATTTGAGTGGATTTTTGTTGGGATGCCAAACTACTCCCACACCAAAAGAAAAAGAAGAGAATCAATATTTAAAGATTCAACTCAAGTCATTAGTAAAAGGTGTTTTCGTAAATACCCAAAAATAAATTCGTAAAGGCTTGATCTACAACAAACAATATCTTACAGTTGAAGTGTAGGCCAGAGCCCAACTTTGAAGCGGTCGAGAGCAGCATGCAACGCGGTATAGGAAAATCTCGATGTGACTATGTAATAATAGGACCAAGACCCAAAAGAGATCTGCACGTGGTGCCTTGTGTCGAAAATTGTTCCGGCAGGAGGTTGAAAGGTGCGTCTCGCAAAGTTATAACGAAAGAAATTACCCCAAATATGATAAAAGCATAACTATTATCCCAAAATATAAGTTTTATGTTTTTATCCCTAATATAAAAGTTTGCACTGTGACATTGTAACTGAGTATATTGCCATTTTATAATGTTTTTTGGCAGAATATGTTGACATTATTGACATTGTAATTCTTATTTTGAGATAAAAATATGAAAATTCTATTTTGGTATTTTCTCTATATTTTAATTCGATTTTGGTATTTGTCCCTTAGAACAACGGTACAAGATGATTTGGCACATCAAATGGTATAAATCTACCAAAGAGGAAAGTCTTCTCGATAGGAGGCTAGGCAGCGTGTCTCGTGAAAGGTGTATTGACGGTAGATTTGTAACACCCCGAAAATAGGCATATCAGAATTAATTAATAATTAATTAATTACTGAGAAAGACTCAAAAATATGTGAATTATAAAGTTGGTCAATAAATAATAAAAATTTTATCATTATGTAGAGTTTGACTGTCCGATTCCAACGGTTTAATCGGATTTCAATTCGGAGAAAGTTGGACCAAAAAGTGTTCCCCGACTGGGACCAAATTAGTCCCAATCCGGGACTTACATTTAAAATCGGAGAAGACAGCAGCCCGCTCCACCCAGCCGCCGAAACAGTCGAAGGAGAGGTCATCACCGTGTCTTCATCCTCCTTCACTTGGCTATATAAGGACCATCTCTTCCTACCCAATTCTTCACCATTTCTTCCCAAATTGCTTCTGAGAGTTAGCTTTGAGTGTGTAGAACGCAGTGGTGCTGTCATATTGGTGTGAGGTCACCGGAGATAGCCACAATCCTTGCCGGAAGTTTCGCCGGAAAATTTCCAAAACCTCCATTACGCTTCGAGGTAAGCCCGTAGATATATCTAATGACTAGAATGTTTGTATAGATCGTTTCTACGTTCATAAACGGTCGTTTGGTTGAGTTTTGTGTTTGACATGCTTGAAGAACCAAGAATCATAAACCATTAAATTGATGTTAAAACTATGAATTAATGATGCCAAAATGATCTTTGAACCTTGGAGAACATTTCTATATAGTTTAATCGAAGTTTGGAACCTAAAAATGGAATTCCCGAAATTGAAGTCGCG